AAAAATAAAAAAATAAAAAAGAAACGAGAGAAAGAAGCAATTAGGATAGTTAGTTTAGATTAATTCTAAAAAAGAGAGGCTAATAGAAAAAATAAAAATCTTGGTAATTAAAAAAAAAAGAAAAAAGAAAAAGAGACAATTGAGGTTCAATTGGAACCAAGTAAAATAAAAGTCCTAAGTATTTGCAATAGAGGGTTTCAATTAAAAAAAACAAAAACAAAACAAAATTGAACCTAAATTGAAGAATTGTGGAAAACCAAGGACCAAGTAGGAATTTTTCCATAAAAAAACCCTACCAATATAAGGCCTCATGCATTTTTTTATCACGGACGGTGTTCATGATCACCCAAAACCGAAAAACCCTACCGACCTCTCTCTCTCGTTGATTGTATCTCTCTTATGCCCGACCTCGCATCACATAACCTTCATTCCCACACTCACACAACCCTCTCACCGGTCCTCTCCCTCACCTAAGCCGTAGGCTAGCCGACCCTCTCCCACTTGTAGCTCTCGCGCGCGTCTGCTACTCGCACGGCTACGCCTCACCCCCACGTAATAGCTCTAGCTCGTCTCGCCCCACTCACGCCCGACCTCGTATCCCTTCCAACCTCACTCCCACACTCAAACCACAAGCCACGGCCCCATTCTCACTGCCTCCCTCGCTCAACCAGATCACTACACTAAGCACTCCCCACACATATAGCCGACCTTACCAACACGACCTTCCTCCCATGCCCATAGCCCTCTCGTTAGCCTCCCTCTCACCCACACATACACCCTACCGCCCACACGGCTACACCCTCATCGCCCGACCAACCAATATACATAGCATAGTGCGCATGCCTATATCATGCCCGTAAGCCTCCTTCATGCGCCATCGTATTGCTCGTAGGCTAGCCATACCTCTCGCCGACCGCCACGCCACACAACCCACTACTCCCTCTCACTAGCCTCACGCCAGCGGTCTTGCTTCGCTAGCCCACGTTAGGCTACACAAGCCCTCATGTCCACGGCCTCTTCCAACACACGGCCCAAGCACACCGGCCCTCACGCCGGACTCTTTTCCATGCCACAAACATGACCTCACTTTAGCCCCCACACCACATCTAAAACACACCATAAAAACCCTCCCTAAATTTAGCTCGAAACACAACCACAAAGCCCCATTAAGAAAAAAGAAAAAGGAATGAAAAAAAGACCTTTTGTTGTGGTTTTATTTATTTTTTTGACGGAAACATATTTCGGAGGATTTTTTAGGTCGCTCTAGTCGGATCCGCACCACACATTATCAATAAATAGTCACTCTCCTTTCTCGACTAATCGAACATTTGGTTACCATCGAGAACAAAGAGAGTAAGACTAACTCCAAATCCGATATCGAAATCATAGGATTTTTTAGTAAAAAATTCGAAACTACTACACTTATAAAATGTATTTTGTGTTTGTTTTTTAGGGGTGATTGTTTGATTGTGGTTTGCAATATGGAATTAAAGTTATTAATGGTGTTCAAAATTATTTTGTATGTTTTTGTATCTATTTTTTGTTTTTATATTTTTATATTTTCCTTGTTTTTGTTATTAGTTCCTATTTTTTGTTTTTTTTGTCTTTTTGCTCCTTGTTGCATCAAAATAAGCCGTCGGTAGCTTCCTACTTATATGATAAAGCCGTTGGAAGGCTTCAAAATATTTTTTGCTTAAGTATTTGCTTATTTGATAATAAGCCATCGGTAGCTTCCTACTTATGTGATGAAGCCGTCGGAGGCTTTCGAAATATTTTCGTTTAATTGTTTACTTGTTTGAAAATAAGGCTGCTTGTAGCTTCCCACTTATGTGACAAATGCGTACGAGGCTTTCAAAATATTTTCGTTTAATTTTTTACTTGTTCAAAAATAAGCCGCTAGTAGCTTCCCACTTATGTGATGAAGCCGTCGGAGGCTTTTGAAATATTTTTGTTTAATTGTTTACTTGTTCGAAAATAAGCCACCGGTAGCTTCCCACTTATGCGACAAATTCAAAACGGTCATTTGCTCCTTGCTTGAGCGACATGAAGTTGTCGATAACTTTCTACCTTTGTGACGAAGTTATCGGTACCTTCTTATATCCATGACTTGAAGTCGTAGGTGGCTTCCCACTTGTGTGAGTAAAGTTGTCGATGACTCATAGCTCATGCCAATAAAAGGTTATTTATCTTTAGAAAATCATCTATTTTTTAATAATGGGTCATGTTCACTAATGATTAGCCGAAATTCTAATTTTTTTTTTACCTTTTTCCCCATTTAGGTAGGGCGTATTGGCCTTGGATCGGCCTAAATGCCCGAACTACCTCGTTTTACACCCGAACCATCTCATCCCATAATTTTATCAAATAAATTCACTTGAATAAGCATAGAAGTATAACAGAATAAATTACCAAATTTTTATATTCATAGACAAACAATGCGACCTACCTTAGGTAGGACGAGATGGTGGTGGCGTCATGTCTTCCCTATACATAACCGACCCCTTATCAAAATATTCATGTAGACTCCCTTATCTCGTTCGGTGGCAACTCCCTTATCTCAACCCTTTCCCCACTAGTGTTAGGCTGATGTCGACAACCATAGAGACAAATTAAATGTCAAAAAGATTCATAAGGAAAATACGGTACTCACCATGTATATTTATCGAAACAATACAAAATTTCACTAGCAAATAACTCTTCTAACTAATTTTTAACAAAGTGTTAATGACATCTTATTTGTCATGAATAGCTTTTATCCGACATGATGTCTAATTTGCCACCTGTTCTTACAAAAATAAAAATGTTAAGCCTTGTCGCGCAAACCATTCGCTGTCATCATTTTGACTAAAGACCAAAACGCATTACATTCTCCAAGCTTAACAAGACGAGTATTGTATCAACTCAACACATAATTAAGGCCACTTAACTATTTCCTTGTCCAATTTTGACGGATCATATGTTACACTCGCCTCACTAGTTTTCAAGGCGAATGAAAACTTTTAGTTTTTCCATACATCAAATAATATGTAAATTTATAGTTCAATTATATTAAAATTGCTTTAAGTTCATGAGATTCCGCAATCCAAACAATATTAGAGCATGTATAGAATGGAATTGTTGTCAAAAGTTGATCATGTAGATTCCAAATATTGACTTTAAACAACAAAAAAGGGGGAAATGGTTGTTTACCCTCTATTGCCTTGATTGCTTCGGTATATTGGTCAAGCATTGGATAAAGATAAGCCATTACTTGGATTAAGATAAAACCTTTTGCCTCCCATGTTTGATCTTATCTCCACAAAGTGAAGTATAAATTTGGATGTTTCTTGGATAAAAGTTATGGATTTTTCCACACAAACTATTAGCATTGTTATCATCCAATTTTAACTCTACTCTTAATATAAATAGGAGGACATTATGATAAGAGAAAAAAAAAAAAAGGAGAAATAATACGAGAAAAAAAGAGGAAATTTGAGTAATTGAGGGCACACTAGAGAAAAATAAAAAAGAATAAGGACTAAAAAATAAAAGTGCAAAAATGGAAAGGCTTAAGGGCTTAATTGAGGAAATGTTGAAAGAATTAGGTCCGAAATGTGAAAAAGGCATCCAATGAGAGCACTGATTTGAACTTTGGTTTTTAACTATTCATCATTTTCTTCCTCATTTTTTTTTGTTGGTCTTGTCCGGCTTTCTTGTTAGCATCCAAATTGCAACCCCTAATTTTTATAATTAAGGTATTTTATATAGATATACTAAAAGAAAAAAAAACGAAGAGAATTTTCAAGGTTTGCTTTTTTGCTAGGGGATTTTTTTTGAAATTATTATTATCAAAAATAATAATTGTAATAATATTAATAAAGTTTGAAAAGAAAAGGATAGAAAAGAAAAAAAAAAGAAAAAGGGAAAAGAAATGAAAATGAAAGAAAATGAAAAGAAATTATAAAAAGGAAAAAAATAGAAGGAATTAACATCGGGTTGAGTAAGGGAGTTTAATTGAAAAATATTTGAAAATATTATGGGTTAATTTGAAAATAATAAAAATTTATCGAAGGAATTGGGAACTATAAGGACTCAATCAGTAACATTTACGGAAGAAGGACCAAGGTGTAACGAATTGATGGATTTGATTGAAAAAATCAAAACACGTGGGGAGCAACATAAAAAAGCATCGGATTACGGAGACTAACTTAAACGCATGGCCGAACGACACGTCGTTTAGTTCTCCCGCCCAAACGAGACCCCTTTCTCCTATTCATCTTCTTCTCTAGAACATATTTATCCCCTTTTTTCGGTCGAGCAAACCAAGTTTGTTGGTGTAAAAAACTGCACGAAACCCTCCCTTCCAACCACCTTAGCATCCCCTCTGTATCCAACTTGCAAAAGAGACAAAATACGTGTCTCTAGCCTCTCTTTTCCCCTCTTAGAGCATGTCAAAAACAACCAAAATGCATTGAATGCAAAGGTTTTGGAGGGTTTTAAAGGGAGATGATCCTCTAAAAATTTCAAATGAAGGGTGAGGATCAGTCTTTTGATGGAGAAAAGGAGAGAAGATAGTATAAAAACGTAGAGAAAGAGCAAACTCTAAGTCAAGCAAGTTAGTTTCGGATGGCTAGGTTTTTGAGAGAAATAAAGGAGTGTAAAGCTTGAGAGAGAGAAAGTAAGGCAGAGGGTAAAATTTTAAAGTGTGGAGAGTGTTTTGAGAAAGAAAAGAGTGAAATAAACTGGGAGAAAAAATGGAGAAAATCAACCCAAAAGGCGGCCACTCACACTAAAATGTGTGTCGCCTTGAACTTTGTGGCTTTGGTGTAGCTTTGTGATGTACTCTCTTCTGACTTTTTTTTTTTTTTTTTTTTGGGTTCTTAATGTGGATTTGTTTGATATGTGAAAGTTGCATGACATTGAAATACTGTTTTAAGCTTTGAAATCAAGCCTAAAGTATGAGGGGAGGGCTGTTGAGAAAAAAAACTTTGAGAAAAAAATTGTCTGTTCCCAGTCTTGGTATGGGTGTTCTAGGTTATTTTTCTCCCATTTCCAGAAGTCTTTCGAAGTGCGTGTTATTCAGTGGTGTAAAGGGATATACCCTCTACACTTTGGTTCAGAGAGTTTGGGAGGGAGATCCAAAGTGGGTCAAGTCAGTCAGCTTTGGTGACGAGGCTGACGGAGTGGAGATGTTTAGGTTAAGATATTTGGAGTTTGAGAAGAGTAGAAGTCTCAAAACTCTTTTTGGCTACGTAGAGGAACACCAGATCTAGAGTTTGATGGAGTTTTTGGGCCAAAATAAGAAAAGGGCGTGAAACGAACCAACAAATTAGGGTTGTTCCTCAAAATAAAAAAAAATAAAAAATAAAAAAACCCAAGTTTGAAGACAAAAATAAATAAATTAAATATAAAAGGGAGATGAAAAAATAAAAAAGAAAAAAAAATGGAACTGAAGCTAGTATGGGGGAGGCAGTTTCAAAACGACACCGTTTCGAGAAGATTCAAGTTGGTTTTGTTCTTTTAAGTTTTTTCAATTATACCCTTGCACCCCCTGATTTTCCTTCAAATTCAATCCCTCGTCATCTTAATTTCATTTGATTATGTCACCAAGATGTTCCTAATTGCTTTCCCAAAATTTTAAGTATTTCGATACTGACCTACAAAAAGTTTAAATTAATTACAATCAAAACTCTAAATAATGAAATCTGAAATTAATTCTATATTTTTTCTTTCGAATCTTCTTTTACTCTTTTTTTCTTCTATTTTTCTTTATAGAAAAATGATAAATAAATTAAAAGCTAACGATAAAAAATATTAACAATAATTAATAATTATTATAAAATAATTAAAATTGGAAACAAATTACCAATATTTTTTTAAAATAATAGGAAATTTTATTTTTAATGATATTATAATAATTATTAATATATAAAATTGAAAAAAAAAACATGTAAAGAAAATTTTTTCATTTTTTAATTATTTTATAATAATTATTAATTTTTTTTTCAATTTTTAATATTTAAAATAGTTATTAATAAAGAACATTTTTAGAAATCTAAAATTTTAATGATTTTATAATGATTGATTATTTTAATAAAAAATTTTGATTATTAATTTTTTTTCAAAAACTTTTCTTTAGATTTTTTAAAAATTTTCTTTATTATTAGTTATTATAAAGTTATTAAAAATTTCTATAGATTTTTTAAAAAAATTTCTTTATTAATAATCATTACAAAATCATTAAAATTTTATAAAGTAATTTATTTAGATTTTTTAAATTTTTATTTAATAAAAAATTATTATAAATCCATTAGAAATTAAAAAAATTGATTAATTTAAAATTTTTCTTTAAATTTTAATGATTTTATAATAATTATTTTGACTTTTAAAAAAATTTAAAAATGATTTTAAAAAATTATATTTTTACCTTTAAATTGACTCATATTGCCACTTGATTGATCGGACGTTAGTCAACTAATGTAAATTAGTTCATGTAACAAATTTAAGTTAATAGATAAACTATTTGATACCAATGTTTAATAATATATGGTTTGTTATGAACTATATCTAGATAGACGAGTTGCAACGATATCTTTGATATAATATAAGGGTAGACCTTTTTGGTGGTTTTTTCCTCAAGGACGAGCATGCCATTTGGTAATATTCTCATGGGCGATCGTCCATTTCGGTGTGTCACTATCCGACTTCGGACGAGACTCCCAAAACATTCTAGGTCTTGAAAATGTTTGCGAGAGATGTGCATCTTATTCACGGGGATTTTTGGGGATGCAAGTTATTATTGTGTTTCGCCACCTAATATTAGAGGAACTAAGAACCTAAAATAGCATTGGTATTAAGATTCTAGGGCAAAGAGTTGGTTACATTTTAGGAAGACAACAATCACCCAAAAACGCCCTTTTTTAATAAAGGTACCACATCTAAGTTAGTTTTAAATTCATCTCCTTAAATCTTTTATTTGTGCCAAATTATTTTTCGATTGTGTTGAACTCCATTTTTTTATACCAACAACAATCCCTATCGGATAGGAGACTTTGTTAAGAATTTTTAATTCTTTATTAATTTTTTTGTCGAACAACAGATCATTATCGGATATGAGACTTCGTTAAGAAATTTTTTATTATTTATTATTTTTTATAAAAAATTGTCATCAATCCCTAAAATAGGAGACTTGACAATCATCCACCTATTAATTACTTATTAAGCCTAATTACTAAACTCGCTAAAATAAGGTTATCGAAATGAGTTAAAAACAATTAAAATACGAAATTCTAAATAAATAAAAAATTTGCATAAGATAAATAAAGACAGATTAAAGTAAGAAATTCTAAATAAATAAAAAAATTGCATAAAATAAATAAAGACTACAATTATCTTAAATTAAATAATTACAAGCAATTTAAACATTAGATTCTAAATTAAATATAACTAACAAACATGCAAAAATCTAAAATTACAATTACATTAATAAAAAATTATTAAAAGCAATTAAATATCTAAATTAACTACTAAATGTTAAAAGATGCATAAAATCTAAAGTTTAAATTATAATCAGACATTTCTTTTTTCTTTTTTTTTTTTTACTCAAATTTTCTTTCCCTTTTTTTATTTTCCTACTTCTATTTATTCATTTTTTTTATTTTCTTTATTATATATATATATATATATATATATATATATATATATATTTTTTTTTTTTTTTTTTTTTTTTTTTGTTCTTTTTTGTTTTTTTTTTTTGGGAGAGGCTGGATTGATTCCAGCCTCTCTTAATTTTTCTTTGGGAGAAGGCTGGACTAAAATCAGTCCAGCCTTCTCGTTTTTTTTTTTAAAGGCCGAGAGGGGTGGGCTGGACTGAAGTCAGTCCAGCCCGCGTGGCTTTCTTTTTTTTTTATTAGCTAGGCGTAAGCCCAGAAACAGGCCCAGGCGAAGAAAATTTGAGAGAAACGGATCAAGCTTCTCTGGAGACGCTTTCTCTCTCCTGTTCTTCGTGGTTTCAACTTCTCTCTCTAGTATTTCAAATTTTTCGGTAAATAAAAAATTTAATTAAGCAAACCAACGACTCAAATCATGAACTACATAGACAAAAAAATCAATCAAAGCTAACGAACTCACGGAATCAAACGGAAGATCAAGACCTAGGAGCTGACTTGGAAAACACCCGAAGAACACCAAGAACAAACCCACAAAACCCAGGAAAAAAAAAAAAAAGCGCCGACGAGCCCCAAATGACGATTTCTCACTTTTTTTTTTGTTTTGATACTCGATTTCTATTTCTCTACACCAAACAACAATAATGTTCCTCAAAATAGCCTTAAAACCCTTTCAATCTACCTAGGGAACGAAGAAGACGAACCCAGCAGACGAAGAACACGAAGAAAGCTACAGTCACTGCCCAGAAAACCAAAAGGAAAACGCAAACTGCCTAGAAATTCAAAAGACAAAAACCAAAAACCAAAAATGAAAGAATTGAACCCCAAATTTCAAACAAGGAGGTTGAGAAACAATTGAGGATGGAAAATTAGCCCTGAAATAACCGAAACAAAGAACGAAAAGTGGCTACCAATGGAAGAATGAAACCCAGAAAAATAAGAACACCAAGCTAAACCTAGAAAAAAACCCAGAATTTCCCAGAAAACGACATGCCGAATAATCCCAGTTTTTTTGAATTTCAGCTCTCTTTTTTCTTTGTTTTTCACTCTCTCTCAACCCAGATTTTTTCTAACCTCTTTTCCAACGAATTTTTCCCCCTATTTATAAGCTAACATCTACATTAATCAGTGAGGGGAGAGGGGGAGTCTGCTGCAAAAATAGCAGCATGGGCTGCTGCGAATGGCAGCATGGGTTTACTGCAAAAATCCCCAATAATTCGGATTCAAATCTGCAGCTAAAACTCAGGGATTCTTGTCTGGAGTGTGCAACAAGTCTCAGAACTAATTGTTGAGTGTTGGAACAAATTTGCAGAGAAAATTGAACTGATTGGTCCTGGTTTTTGTTTTCAAATTTCACTTTTGTCCCTTCAAAATTCAATCATCTACAATCATCTCCTTTTGCATGCAATTTTGATCCTTTGTGAATTGGATTTTATCAATTGGATCCTTTTGTTATGCAATTTCAGTCTTTATAAATTCAATTGTATCAATTGAGTCATTTGAATTAATTTAATTACCTTTACATTTAGTTCAATTGCACCCTTGGTTGTAATATCCCCTAATTTTTTTTGTATTTTTGTTCTTTTTCCTTTTTTTTTTTTTTTTTGTATTTTTATAGTATATTAAAAAAAGTAAAATAAAATAGAAGCAAAGAACAAGTAAAATAACCAAAAAAAGGTGAAGGTTTTAGGTTATGACAGTTGCCCTCTCTTTACAATACTTATGACACAAAGCGAAATGAAAAATATGTTTTTCAAATGACTTTGTATAATAAGCTTGTAAATATTTTTTTTTAATTGATTTTGTTGTTCTAGGCAACCTTTTCCTTAAAAAAAAAAAAGTGATAGGATGACCTTATTATGGAGGGCGATGAGCCTTGAAAATTAGATATGTTATGCATGAAAAGGTAAATATGCAATACATGGTCATGTTGTAAAGGCGGCTCGCCTTGAAAAAGTAAACATGTATTATCGAAAAATTAAAGATGCATTGCGGGACCATGTTGTAAAGGCGATCGCCTTGAAAATTAGACGTGCATTACCGAAAAATTAAAGATACATTACGGGACCATGTTGTAAGGCGATCCCGAAAAATTAAACGTCTATTACTCGTGAAATTAAAGATGTATTACATGACCAATGTTGCGGTCACTTTGACAAAATAAACATGCACTCGCGAGACCTTGTTCTTGTCACTTAAAAAAATAAACATGCACTGCAAGACCATGTTGTGGTCATCTTGAAAAAATAAACATGCGTTGTGGGGCCATGTTGTAAAGGTGGCTCGCCTTGGAAAAGTAAAAATGCGAGTGTGTGGCTAAGCAACTCGCCTAAGCCAATGAAGATCATTAGGCAACCTTGCCCAAACGATGAAATAAAATTAGGCATCCCGCTCGTAAAAAGATCGTTAGGTAACCCTACCTAAACGATTGACTAAATAGACGACATCGCACTGAAAAATGAGAAGATCATTAGGTAACTCTACCCGAATGGTGAACTAAAATTAGACACCCCGTTCGAAAAACGATCGTTAGGTAACCCTACCTAAACGATTGGCTAAATAGGCAACCACTGCCTAAAAATGAGATGATTAGTAGGCAACCTTAT